ATATAACCATACAATATGTGGTCTTTCCATCAGGTTTCTTTCATTTACCACAAGATTACTTTGTTAGAATCTGAGATTTATTTTCAGGAAATGCTCCTATGATGTCACAAACTTGAATGGTAACTATTCTGATTACCCCAATTTACCTTGGTTAAACTTCCGGCATTCTTTTGAGTACACATTACAAAACTGTTACAACAGAACAGAATTTTGGATTGTAAAAGTTTTCCTTCAAGATAAACTGAATGCTTCCACTTTAACAAAGTATAAGATGTGACACTATAAAAGTAAAATCTTTGTCATACTGAGTGCAAAATTCCTCTTAAACATTATTTTTTCTTCCATGGCATCTACCTAAAGAATCCACATATTCCAGAGTAAAATTAACCACCAATTCTGTTATTAATTTTGATTAGTAAAAAGTCAAACTATAGGAAAACCTCTCAGAGGAAACCTAAGGCTCTAAATTCAGATGAATGTGAATCAGCTCAGAAAATGCAGAAGAGGGACAACAAACTATTAGGATTCTAAGCTGGAAGCTGGGTAACCTTAGATAAGTCATTACTCTATTTTGTACCACAATTACTTCACTATAAAACAGAATAACCTCATAGGATTGCTGGGAGGATTAAATGTTAATGTTATAAAGCTCTTAGGAGACCACATACATGTAATAAACACTCAGTAAGAATTAGGTATCTCAAAAAGCTGAAAAAGCTATAAAAGAACAGGTATCCTAGAAACCAAAGTTTTATAAAATAGTGACCAAGATATCTAGCACAGTGCTGCTCAAGATATTTTATTTTTAATCCTTCACAAACTGATGCTTTTTGTAAAATGCAAGATTACATGCTTGAATGTCACAGCACTATCAAATTGCTTTGAAAGTTTCTACATGTTTACTCTCACTTTCTACGTTTATCTCATCATAGTCTGATAACCATTTTGTCTGCAGACTGAACCTTGAGTAGCACTATTCTAGCATACAAGAAGAACTCGGAAGTCTGCTGAAAACTAGTAGGTTAAATAAAATTATGAAAATATTTAGTAAAGAAAACCACCCCCAATAGCAGGGGTGACTTGAAGGTCAATAAGCTGACAGACCAAATAATTGCTAAAGGCTAATTCTGTAAAACAAAATTGGCTGCCAGAGCAAGAACCCAATTGGTACTTTCCCCCACCAGTGCTCCATGGGGTGGCTCTTAGAAACCATGTTGGCCAGGAAGTCATCAACAGCAGAGGGAACAAGAGGCATGAACGAAACAGGCAGAGGTGACTTAGGCCTCCTGAAAAGGAAGGAAGTCATTCTCAGGAGTGAGAAGCCACCCTAAGTCATCATCAAGTTTTAGAGACATCAACTACAAGTCACAAAAGCCAGTGTTTCTTCTCTGCCAAAGAAAACATGCAAACATTTCCTCTGGTGATGTGGAACTGCACACATGCATGCAATCCACATTCACAGACACACACCTGTGGTTTTAGGAGGTTCCTGAGGTCCACCCTGCCAGCCATATTGGGGGTACCCTTGGTAGGGATACCCCTGAGGAGGTGGGTAGGGCCCCCCCATAGGTCCTGGACCCATTGGTGCTTGTGGATAAGGTGGGTATGGGGCCGTTGGACCAGGGCCAGGATACGGCGGAGGGTTTTCTTGGTTCATCATGGTCCTGCAAAGTGCACCTAAGAGACAAAAAGAATGAAAATTATTTGCATTTAACCTGTGGAAATCATTAGGAAAAAAAATTCTACCCCATAAAATCATTTACAAAATGCCTTAAAGGTGTTTTGAACCTTTCACAAATCTCTAATTCTCCCCATTTTGTTTCCTTCTCACCATTACTATTGGCAATTATCTTACGTATTTATTTGTCTTTTGTCTGTTTCCCCCACTAGACTATGGGCTGTGACAGCTGGGATCTAGCCAGTTTTGAATCACTACCATATCCCTAGAGCCTCACATACTGCCTAGCATAAGGCAGTACCCTAAATAAATGTGCTGAATGAATAACAAGATATTTTATTTTCTAAATCCTCTGAATATCCACAAATATGATTAGATAGCTTTAATAAAGAAGAAAGTCTAATAGTACTGAGTCAGATCAATAGAACCTGACCTTCTACTTGAAACCCTCCAATAAACAGGGCTGGACCACACTGGAGTCTTCTAACAAGCAGTGATCAACCAAAGGAAACCACTGCCACTGTCTTAGGCACTGGAGTGATATGGTTGCTTTCCCCAGACTCACTGGTCTGAGCAGTTGGGCAGAGCTGTCTACAGAGAATGCCAAGCATCTCCTCTGACTATCTAGGCCAGGTGTCCTCAAACTATGGCTCTCTGACCATCTGGGCCAGGCGTCCTCAAACTACAGCTCAGGGGCCACATGCATCCCACCTGCGACATTTATCTGGCCCGCCAGGTGTTTTTGCCACTGCTGCCTGTCCTGCTCAGCAGCCGACTCATCCCGGGGCCCACAGTTCAGCCCTCCAATGGTCTGAGGGACAGTGAACTGGCCCCCTGTTTAAAAAGTTTGAGGACCCCTGATAGGCTCTCAGCACTCTAGGATAGCTCTTCAGGAACCCTCACTTGTGTCAACAGGTTCCTGTCCCCAGTGGTTTGCTTCTGTGAAGGAGCCCATGCTTCCAGGCCCCTCCAGCCTACTAATCATTCTTTTTGAAGTTTTACAAGCCAGCACCTTGTTTCCATCATGTCTTTAACTTCCACAGTGCCTGGCACAGTGACATCCAGATTAAAAACAAACAATTACTGAGGAATGCAAAGTATTACTATATTCTCTATGGATGACTCAGTTAAACAACATATCTGTCATACTGCTGCCTTGTACTTTTACCTATCTTCTATAGATATTTAGCTTTTTACCTATTTGAGTATCTTCTATTCCCCCAAATAAATAATTGGGAAGAGTCTCATGCTAAAATTTAGTAGTTTCACTATTAATTCTTTTTCATAACATGCAATCAATAAATTCATAAGTGGCTTCATATAAAGTTATAAAGTAAGGTTCCCTAGAAAATTTGGATTAGTATAACAGTGGACTTTGCTGGCTGCCCACATAACATCCATATTCTTCCTAACAGTTGCCAGATTTCTAGGTAGGTATCCATTCATTCTTCCTGTACTTAATGTGATTCAGGGAAAGCTCATTCCATCCCAGTTCCAAAGTAAGCCTAGCCTGTAAAAGCCAATTCAGGTCACTCTCTCTCCTTTTTCATCATGATTGATTCAAGGGATAGAGGACCAAGACAAATGCAAAACATCCTGGCCAGTGAGACTGGTTCTGAAGTGGTTCTGTCAGTAAAAAGCTTAGACTCTCCTAACATACTCCTACCCCACCTCCTCTTCCCCTTAACACAGGCATACACAAAGTCCAAGAAAGACATGGCCTACAAAATTACTGACAGCCAATTTGAAGCCCTGATAAGAAGTCCACTTTAAGATGAAAAGGGGACTTCAGAAAGGCAGACCAGGAAAAAGGTAAGAAATAGGATTCCAGATGATTTTATAAACTCATAGATCAAAGTCTGAAGCCCAGCCTACCCTAAACTACCTCATTAGAATTTCCAATCCTGGTAACCAATAGTAAGGTAAGCTAATGAACCCTTCTGGGTGACATTCCCCCAAACATACACGTATGCAGTGATGACTAGTGCCTGACTCTGGGATAAGTGGGGTATAGAGATCAATATGGCTCAAACCCTTCCCTAAAGCAACTGGTTGAAAAGACAAGCATAAAAACAATGATTTTTAGAAAAGGTGCTAAACAGACTGCTGGGTAGGAGTACAGGCTTAAACTCAGTAGAAGGAGATAGGAGGTAAAGAAAGTCCTTTGAAAGAGGTGATTAGAAACTGAAACTTAGGGCAGCACCTGTGGCTCAGTGGGTAGGGCGCCAGCCCCATATACCGAGGGTGGCGGGTTCAAACCCAGCCCCAGCCAAACTGCAACAAAAACTGCAACAAAAAGCCAGGTGTTGTGGCGGGTACCTGTAGTCCCAGCTACTTGGGAGGCTGAAGCAAGAGAATCGCCTAAGTCCAGGAGTTGGAGGTTGCTGTGAGCTATGTGATGCCACAGTACTCTACCTAGGGCAATAGAGTGAGACTCTGTCTCTCCCCTCCTCCCCAAAAAAAGAAATTGAAACTTTATAATACAGAATCAGGATGGCTTGTGGGGGACTCTACTTTAATCACATTTGCATTCTGTCTCCCCTTTTAAAGAACTGCTTTGACTTTTTAATTTTTTTCTTTTTTCCGTTTTTGGCCAGGGCTGGGTTTGAACCCGCCACCTCTGGCATATGGGATGGGGGCCCTACCCTTTTGAGCCACAGGTGCCACCCCATTTTTTTTTTTTTAAGACAGGGGCTTGTTTGGTTGCCTAGGCTGGAATGCAGTGGGGTTCAATCATTAGTTCACTATAGCCTTGAACTCCTGAGTTTTAAGCAATCTTCCTGCCTCAGCCTCATGAGCAGCTAGGACTATAGTCATGTGACACCACTGGCTAATTTCAAAATTTTTTATAGAGATGGGATATTGCTAGTCTCGAACTCCTGGCCTCAAGTGATCCTCCCATCTTAACCTCCCAAAGTGCTGGCATTACAGGCATGATCCACTGTGATGAGATCTTATTTTTCCAGGACCTGAAAGGTACTCAGAAAAGAACTAGAGTTCTTTCCCTTCTCTGCTCTCTGCCGATTAGCAGCACACCCTGATATGGGAATGGCCTTTCCCCTTTTCCTAACACAAAGGGTCATGGTGACTAATACTATAATCATCACATAAATGCAGACATATATAAATGCATTTTGGGTTTTCTCTCCTACTAGGAAGACTATGGAAAACCTAATGATCCCTGGTTAATACCGAAATCAGTCTCATTAACTCCTTATATGGCTATTCCATTATTTATTTTTAAATCACAGAAGTAGAACACAGCCTTCATAACTACTGTCCTGAAATTCAGTGTGTGTAACCTAATTTCATTTAAATTGTAGTTTAACTTGATAAGTCCAACAAGATCATGTAGTAATGATCATTCTCACACTAGCAAAATCTGGACCTGTATTTCTCTGAAGACATTATTCTTCTAAGCACAAAGGGCAGTAGGAGAAAAAAGGAACAAAGACTTCGCTATTACAACTTCAGACCTCAGTGTTTCCTGGCTTTTGTTTGTTAATCCACCTAACTTGAATCTATTCCTCATTATCTATCCTGTGCAGTTCTCTCTCTGGAACCCTCAAAATTCTCTTCAATGTCATCCCCATTTATCTATCCCTCAATCATGTTTCCCCCTCATTTTTGGTATGTACCTTTCTCTCTCTGCCTGAAAAATCATGTAAAGTCAGGGGATGGGGGTGGGAATCCCATGTGCTGTTCACAGAGGCATTTATGAAAAACATAAACCACAAAAGTACTCCAGCCACCATGACTCCCTTCCACACATATACATATAAATCCCAGAGAGAGAACAGCAAAAGAACAAGCATCTATGCTGGATCAAAGATCCTAGAGCAGGCATTTGGAGAGCAGGACTTTACCCAGTGGGAATCAATTGTTCCTGAGCTGGTAAAGAAGCAAACTAAAGTAAAAAAGATTCTCAAAGGGTGGTGCCTGTGGCTCAAAGGAGTAGGGCACCGGTCATATATACTAGAGGTGGCGGTTTCAAACCCAGCCCTGGCCAAATACTGCAAAAAAAAAAAAAAAGATTATCTAACACTGACGTTGTCTAGTACAAACCACTTAACAAGAACACAAATGAGCTTTAAATTTAAGGTGCCATATTGAACTACATAGCTGTTTTCCTTATAAATTTGGTCATGTAAAATGTAAACCTTACAATGATAGAGCCTTACAACTAAGGATCAAATGTAAACAGTGTAAATTATAGCATTAAAGACAAATCAGACCTCCAAAAGGGACAGCTCAAATAGTGCAGCAGCTAAGATGCATTAATAGACTGTATTGATTGCTGCTATCCTATGATCCCATTCAAGACATGCTCAAAGTGATAGGATTAGAAGTCATTCAATCATACAATGAGAAGGGCAGAAAATGTTCTTTGGGAAAGGGGTCAAGGGAGATAAGACAATACAAAAGACCTCATTAAAGTAGAGATGCAGGAAAAGATAATATTTTTCAAAGTGGTTATTTCAAAGTGGTTATTTTTTAAATTATAAGATACTTGCTAGATTCTACAGGTTTTGATCTGCCAGCAGCCTTTCTACAAACAGTACAGTGAAGGATTTTCCTACAGAAAAACTGAATAGTCCCAGTTGGGGGGAGGGAGCTACTAAAACTCAGAGACACCAAAGGAATGACTCACATAATCACCCCATAGTGTTCCCATGCATACAGAACTTTTAATGGACTTTTTATTGCCTCATACATAAATGAGTGGGCAAAGATGATCAGACATTAGAGAAAAACCTCCAACATAAAAGACAGACAAAAACAAAACAGAGAAAGGAGAAAAAAAAAAAAACCTAAATGTCCAAAGAAAGAAAATAGTTAAATAAATTACGGTCCATCTACTTTTTTTGCAGTCATTTTTAATTTATGCTTTTGAAGTATAATATTGTGTAAGAAAATATAAAAGCTATATATTCAGCATGACCTCAACTTTCTTTAAAATAAATACTTGTAAATAGATCAATGCAATAGAATACACCCT